TCAAGTGATGTCTCCAGCCCCTGACCAGAGCCCAGAGAGGGCATTGGTTCCTAGCCCAGAGAGGGCTGCGGTTCCCACGTATGGCCCAGGGAGGGCCTCAGCTCCTTAGTTTAGCCCAGAGAGGGCTGCGGTTCCCACGTATGGCCCAGGGAGGGCCTCAGCTCCTTAGTTTAGCCCAGAGAGGGCTGCGGTTCCCACGTATGGCCCAGGGAGGGCCTCAGCTCCTTAGTTTAGCCCAGAGAGGGCTCCTGTTCCTGAATACGGCCCAGAGAGGGCTTCCATTCCCAAGATTATCCCAGAGAGGACTCCTGTTCCTGAATTAGGCCCAGAGAAGGCTCCTGTTCCTAAGTTTGGCCCAGAGAGCACCTCCACCATGGCTCCTAACTCCCTCCTCGCCGCCGTGGCCCGTCAGTCCACTAGTTCCGCCGGGCTCCTTCGTCCTTCCGGCTCCGCCTTGGTTTGTTGTTGACCATCCATCGCCTCGGGACTCCACTCCTCCGGCTGCGCCTCGTCCCTCCAGCCCTCCAGCTCCATCAGGCTCCTCCTTCCCTTCGCCTTCGTCACCTGAGCCACCTGTTCTGCCATGGTCCTCCGGATCCTCCTGGTCACCCTGGTTCTTCAGCTCTCCGACTCCGCCTCGGGCTCCTCCACCTCCTGCTCCGCCGCCGTCAGTCGGCCCCCTGGAGTTGTCAGACCTTCCTCCACCATGGCTCCTCCCTCCGTCGGCTCCACCATGGGTTGTCTTTATGGCTGTGGCTTGGGTCCCACCTGGCTCCGACTGCTCCAAGCCCCTCCTGTCTCCTCCCTTCATCGTCTCTACCAAGGACTCTGTCTGCCAGCCCCCTCCCGGGTGCCTGTCCTCCTCTCGAGCCTCCTCCCAAGTTTCCACCCGTCCCTCCCCCTGTTGTTTCTACGGCGCGAGGACGCGCCTTTCGGGAGGGGGGCGATATGTCAGGAATATGGACCTGTTTTGCTGTGTTTTGACCCTGAGTGGTCAGCTAAATATCTACAGTGGATCTAAAATATGAATAGTTAACTATAACTAGTTGTGGTTAATTATTCATATTTCCCCATGAGCTGATTTGCTACACTATTCTGCATAAAAAAACATCATATGTTTGCATGTTGTTTACATGCAGGTTTAATTTGCAGTACTGGCATCATGCATATGATTTTATAGCAGAATGACAAATGAATCTGTATTACAGATTCAGTTGTCATTTTACAGATTCCGCTTGTCATTTTCATACTGTCCAAAAACATAATAGATTTTCATATTTTTTACATGCAGACTAGGGATGGTAAGATTCACAGATTTGCATCGGTGCGTCAGCATAAAAGTTAACGATACAATGCATTGATTTAAAAGAGTGCGCATCGGATACAAGTTGGCATTTGTATCGCAATGCATTGTTTCTAACATATTTGCATATATAAATTTTTTTTTATTTATATATCATTATTATTAGATGCACTATACTTTTATTAACTAGAAAGTGACCGATAATTTAATTTGCGCGAACGCTGGATCTGGAACATCAGGTCTCCGCCATTCACATATTCCATGACGAAAAACAAACGGTCCTAAAGTGAAGAAACAGAGTAAACAGGTTCATTATTTGACTCAATAAATGCTAATTGTTTAATTTGAACAATTTTTCATTTCTCATTGCAGTGATTGCAAAACATCACTGCACCCGGAAATCAAGGGCTTAATTTGATGTCTACATACAAGTAGGAATGGGAATTGCAAGGAATTTACAGATTCTTGATCTCGAGATGGAGAAAAAACGCTAAAACACAACACTATTTTTGAAACGGACATTATAGTGTTAGACTGAAAAGTTAGACTCATTTATACTGATTCAAAAGTCATAAGAAGGAGATTTGTGGGTCTTTTTAACTGAATCATCAGGTCTCCGCCATTCACATATTCCATGACGAAAAACAAACGGTCCTAAAGTGAAGAAACAGAGTAAACAGGTTAATTATTTGACTCAATAAATGCTAATTGTTTAATTTGAACAATTTTTCATTTCTCATTGCAGTGATTGCAAAACATCACTGCACCCGGAAATCAAGGGCTTAATTTGATGTCTACATACAAGTAGGAATGGGAATTGCAAGGAATTTACAGATTCTTGATCTCGAGATGGAGAAAAAAACACTTTTTGAAACGGACATTATAGTGTTAGACTGAAAAGTTAAGACTCATTTATACTGATTCAAAAGTCATAAGAAGGAGATTTGTGGGTCTTTTTAACTGAACCATTACAAAGAATACATGATTCCTTTGCGAACCGGACATAACTCCAGAATGTTTGCCTGAGGTTATGGATTACAGGTAATGATGTTGTAAATAATATTCAGTTTCTTGCACAGACCAGTCGTTTCGCTTCATAAGACCTCAATATATTGTCAGGAGCCATGGGTATTAATTTTGTGTTACGTTTATATGCTTTTTTTGACTCTCAACGTGCCAGTAGCCGTTGACTTGCACGCTGTGAATCACGAAAGGTTTAAGCTAAAAATCTTCTTTATTGTTCTACTGGAGAAAAAGAGTCACTTATATCTAGGATAGCCTGAGGGTGAGTAAATTAACAGCAATTTTTCATTTTTGGATGGACTATCCCTTTAAGAGACATTTGTTCCATTTACATTTTAATACAGTGATCCAACATTCATGAACCTTTAACATAACCGTAAAAAGTCATGAACATCATTAGTTTCCTTTTTTTTTTCAGCCCTAAAGGATTCAGACATAGGGGAATGCACTTTCAAATGAAAAACTTTTGAGTGTTTATGAAATCCAACTATTAACCACAACTGGGGTTAAAAGACAAGGCTACAGAATAGAATATAAATGTTGGAAAGTTCAGAGTCAATGAGAGAAGACAGCATTAGAAGAATCCAGCAGCCATTCTCAGAAAACATGAACCCGTTGCCCTGTACGGCTGAATAGAATATATCTCATTATCTTCAGTGGGTCATGCACATCATTTCAAAGAATCAAGATGTATATCAAACCCACACAAACTGCCAGTCCAGCTATGTGACTCATGTCCTAGTCAGCAGACGTAACGATTGGCTAAGGAAATACACTGAAATTTGAACGCACATATTCAAAGATGTTCATTTGGCTGTAAGGAGAAGAACCTGATTTGCATCTTTCTGCAAAAAAACCCATACCTAACAATGGAAAAGGATGCTTTAACGAATTGTTTGCCATCTGAACATTAAAAAAAACAAACAAGAGAAAACCCACAGAATAAACACAGGAAGATATTTCACATGCAATGTGAAGGAGTTCATTGAGTTCATAGTGCATTTTTTGCATATTTTGCGAATTGCAGGTCAGAAAATTTAAACTTGGAGCATCGGATACAAGTTGGCATTTGTATCGCAATGCATTGTTTCTAACATATTTGCATATATAAATTTTTTTTTATTTATATATCATTATTATTAGATGCACTATACTTTTATTAACTAGAAAGTGACCGATAATTTGTGACCAATATTTTATATTTAGATTGATTTCTCCTCTCTAAACTGTCAAGCGCATTCTCTCATCCCCACTGCCGCTATGTGAATATGAAGTATCACAACACTACGGAAACTGAGGTCGTGTCCTGAGAGTCACATAGAATATAGATTAACATGGCAGAGGTAGAGCTGCATCTTCCACCAAATAATTATAATGAACCAAAGAAATAAAAGTGAACTATCTGTACTATATTGAATTGCATAGCATCATATTTTTTACACGGCACCGTATTGCATTGAATCGCATTATGTTGAATTGAATCAAAATTGGATCGTACTGCATTGTAATAGGGGTGAATCATATCGCATCACATCGGTAGCTGCTTCATATGTATCTTTAATGTATCATATCACTGGCTATGCATCGAGATGTATATCACACCGGCCTCTGTTATGGAGATGCACATTCCCTAATGCAGACTAGTTTTGAAGTTTTGGCATCATACATTTGATTTTATACTGGAATGACAAATTAATCTGTATTACGAATTCCAAAAGCTACATCGGTTTGCATGTTGTTTATGTGCAGCTTTATTTTGTAGTGCTGGCATCATGCATATGATTTTACAGTGAAATCTGTATCACAATCTGTATTACAGATTCAGTCCTCATTTTGCAGATTTGACAAATTGTGCATATTGTCCAAAAATATCATCAGCTTACATGCATTTTATGTGCAGCTTTTTATGTGTGTGTGTGTGTGTGTGTGTGTGTGTTGATGTCATGCATGCAATTCCACTGTAAAACCATGTGTAGGACTCCAGCACTACAAAATACTGCTGCACATAAACACACAAATTTGCAAATTTATGATATTTTTGGACAGTTAAGATGGATTCCACATTAAAAAAAGCCAGTGATGGATAAAAATGATCCCAAGGAAAGCCTTCCAGCCCCAGAAGCACTGCCCGTTGTGTGTGGTTAATGACACACAATTGAGAAGGTAAACAAACTGTCTGGGAACGAATAAATCATTGCACATAGCTCATCAAAGTAAACAACCTGAGGTAAACAAGGCAGACAAGGGCTCCCGCTCTAGGCAAAATTGCTCCTAAAGATACAACATACCATGCCAGAGCCAGTTCATGTGATACAGACTCTATTTGATTCGCTCCAGACCTAATCTGTTCAGGACTGCGTGACAGCCCTCTGAGAAAATAAATGATCTGGAGTCCGGATTAAACTTGAGCAAACACTTGGAACGGATGGCTAATTTTCCATCCAAAACTGATCAGGCTAAAATTTCACTAAATTTGGAATGTATCTTTTGTGCGTTACAATGGTATTTTGGCTGACGTGTTTTAAGACATTCCATTCTTTTGGTCACTTAACAATGATGCTGTGTCTATCAGTCAGACAAACAGAAGAAGTTTATGGTTTGGAACCAAACACTGTCTGAATGTTGTTTGACCTTTGGCCTTTTTCAGCGGTCAGTTGCCTCGCAATGAATTTACCTGTAAATGACCCCATTTTGGTGCAGGAACATGAGGGCTGAGGTCATCTCAGCAGCATAAAACCGGGAACGAGCTTCATCGAATTTGCGCGAACGCTGGATCTGGAACATCAGGTCTCCGCCATTCACATATTCCATGACGAAAAACAAACGGTCCTAAAGTGAAGAAACAGAGTAAACAGGTTAATTATTTGACTCAATAAATGCTAATTGTTTAATTTGAACAATTTTTCATTTCTCATTGCAGTGATTGCAAAACATCACTGCACCCGGAAATCAAGGGCTTAATTTGATGTCTACATACAAGTAGGAATGGGAATTGCAAGGAATTTACAGATTCTTGATCTCGAGATGGAGAAAAAAACACTTTTTGAAACGGACATTATAGTGTTAGACTGAAAAGTTAAGACTCATTTATACTGATTCAAAAGTCATAAGAAGGAGATTTGTGGGTCTTTTTAACTGAACCATTACAAAGAATACATGATTCCTTTGCGAACCGGACATAACTCCAGAATGTTTGCCTGAGGTTATGGATTACAGGTAATGATGTTGTAAATAATATTCAGTTTCTTGCACAGACCAGTCGTTTCGCTTCATAAGACCTCAATATATTGTCAGGAGCCATGGGTATTAATTTTGTGTTACGTTTATATGCTTTTTTTGACTCTCAACGTGCCAGTAGCCGTTGACTTGCACGCTGTGAATCACGAAAGGTTTCAGCTAAAAATCTTCTTTATTGTTCTACTGGAGAAAAAGAGTCACTTATATCTAGGATAGCCTGAGGGTGAGTAAATTAACAGCAACTTTTCATTTTTGGATGGACTATCCCTTTAAGAGACATTTGTTCCATTTACATTTTAATACAGTGATCCAACATTCATGAACCTTTAACATAACCGTAAAAAGTCATGAACATCATTAGTTTCCTTTTTTTTAAAGAATGTTTCTTATTTTTCAGCCCTAAAGGATTCAGACATAGGGGAATGCACTTTCAAATGAAAAACTTTTGAGTGTTTATGAAATCCAACTATTAACCACAACTGGGGTTAAAAGACAAGGCTACAGAATAGAATATAAATGTTGGAAAGTTCAGAGTCAATGAGAGAAGACAGCATTAGAAGAATCCAGCAGCCATTCTCAGAAAACATGAACCCGTTGCCCTGTACGGCTGAATAGAATATATCTCATTATCTTCAGTGGGTCATGCACATCATTTCAAAGAATCAAGATGTATATCAAACCCACACAAACTGCCAGTCCAGCTATGTGACTCATGTCCTAGTCAGCAGACGTAACGATTGGCTAAGGAAATACACTGAAATTTGAACGCACATATTCAAAGATGTTCATTTGGCTGTAAGGAGAAGAACCTGATTTGCATCTTTCTGCAAAAAAACCCATACCTAACAATGGAAAAGGATGCTTTAACGAATTGTTTGCCATCTGAACATTAAAAAAAACAAACAAGAGAAAACCCACAGAATAAACACAGGAAGATATTTCACATGCAATGTGAAGGAGTTCATTGAGTTCATAGTGCATTTTTTGCATATTTTGCGAATTGCAGGTCAGAAAATTTAAACTTGGAATGAAAAAAGGCTATGGGCTGTAGAGAATATTTCCTTTATTGTCTCACCCTATATTCCTTGCTACCTGTTTCTTCTCTCAGAATGATCAGAAGAGAAGTGTAGGTGATTTTTTCAGCCGTTGCGGGCCTCATACAACTGCCTCACATTGATGATATGAATGATACGCTGATATTTTTTAATTGAAATCATGATTTCATTGTAATCGTATGTCTTATGTAATTGCGGGCCATTCTGCCCCGCTTGTCCTTTGCTATGAAAGTGAATTTAAACAGGATGCTGAAATAGTTTGTTTAAAATGTGCCCAGAGTCACAGCAAAGGCCCACCCAATCAAATGCCAAAAAAACATTTCCTGCCTCTAATTAGAAATGTACAGATACTGGTGTCCCAGCGCCGTGCAAGAGAAAAGGATAGACAGATAACAACCAAGACCCAACAAGCCGTTCTAACAGAGTGTATCAGCTGGCCTTCATATTTGTGCTACATATGAATGAGTGTTAAAGTACAACTTAAGGCTGGAATACACTGCACTTTACTCAGATTTTTGCCCTGATTTACAGTCTGGACAAGCTGATGCTAGTTGGCAAAAATCAGAGCCTGTCTGCAGATTTAAGTTGACAGATTTCATAGAAAATCTCATTGTGTGTGATGGTCACAGGCTTCTATGATTCCTTCCTGTTTGAGGATATCAGAAATGTTTGATATTTTGAGCCGATTTTAGAACACATATTGCTTTCATTTTTATGCATCTCCTAATGACAATGCATGTGAATTTGTTGTGTTCGGAATGTATGATGAAGACTCCATCAAAGAACATTCTTCTACATGCTTAAATTAAAATAAATAAATTAAATAAAACAAGTTTTGGCCCACTTTTCTTCATGGTAATTGTTGTTCCCCACAGTGAGATTACCACACTCCACACTAGCTTATCAAATGACCAGCTTTGTTCGCCTGATAGCAACAGGAAATAATTATAATTTCAGTACAGAGTGTATTGTGTGTGTGGCCCTGGACATTAATCAAGAATGTTTATCCTAGTCCTATGGCTTATAAGAACCAAATACAAGGGGTTCAGAAATCTACTAATAAATAAACCTGTTTCTAATTTGCATGCATCAGCATAACACTTTGTGTACATTTAATTCATACTTATTATTATTTTAAATGTATCACTTGTTTCCAGCTTAATTAAAAATAAAATAAAAAAATTCACTTTACAGTAAACAGTAATACTGATAAATATTACCACAATTTAAAACAACAATTTACATTTGAAAATATTTTACAATTAACTTTTTTTTTTTTAATTTTTCAGCATAATTTCTCCAGACTTCAAGGTCACGTGATCCTTCAGAAATCATTCTGATATGCTATTTTGCTGCTCAGTTATGATCAATTATTATTTTTGCTTAATTATTCAAATGTTTCTAATTGTCAATGTAAAAAATGACAAAGAACTGAACTTATTTGAAATAATCTTTTGTAACATTATAAATGTCTTTACTGTTCTTTTTGATCAATTTAATGTTTCCTTGCTGAATAAAAGTCTTTCTTTCTTTCTTTCTTATCTTAACCAGAACTTTTGAATGGTTATGTATCATGGTTTCTACAAAAAGTAAGAAGCAGCACAACTGTTTTCAACATTGGTAATAATAAGAAATGTTTCTTGAGCATCAAATCATCATATTAGAATGATGTCTGAAAGATCACGTAACACTGGTCTACAGTAATAATGCTAAAAAAAATCAGCTTTAACATAGAAATCATTTAAAATATATTCAAATAGAAAACAGTTATTTTAAATTGCAATAATATTTCTCAGTATTACTGTGTTAAGTTTTGATTAAATAAAATGTAAAAATAATAATTATTACAAACTTCTGACCAGTAGTGTACCTGCAAAGGTACACTCTTCACTTGGCTTCACTAAATCTACATAGGATACAAATTCATAGATGTATCTGTGCACTGTATTTATTGAAAGGCCTAATCCTAGTGCATTATATAATATCATGTGAAAACAGTGTAACAACATTTTTGAATGGAAAGGACCCTTACTGTGTTGGTTATAAGGGCCATTTCTATACAAACACAGTAATGTTCTCTCTCTTTGATGCTTGAGGTTCAGTTGAAGGTGAATGCCAGGCGCTGTGTGCTGTATCACAGACTCAAATGATGAAAGCTGCGGCACTGTTTCTAAAGCAAGGGTTTCATTCAGAACAAACAGCCCTCCCTCCAGCCCTTTACATCAGTAATCACAATCACAAATTCAGATAAAAACTGTGGGAAAAAATGGCCCAGATATAGAAAATACCCCCCTTTTTAACTATTTATTTGATCAAAAAAATACAGCAAAAATATTGTGAAATATTATTACAATGTAACATAACTGTTTTCTGTTTGATTATATTTTAAAATGAAATTCTGTAATGTTAAAAGTGAATATCCAGCATCATTACTCCAGTCTTCAGTGTCACATGATCCTTAAGAAATCATTTTAATATGCTGATTTGCTGCTTAAGAAACATTTATTATTGTTATCAATGTTGAAAACAGTCATGCCACTTAATATTTCTATGACACTTTTTTTAAGGATTCTTTGATGAGCAGAGAATTAAAAAAACTGAATGTATTTGAAATATATACTCAAACATGTATGTTGTTGAATGTGTATAGCTAAAATTTGTTTATGAATAAAACTCAAATTAGCTCTGAAAACCCTCCTAAACCTGAAACTGTGACAATACACAAGAGTAACTAACATTTAACATTATTTACAATTACTTTTGTATTTCATCTTAATTTTAGCTCAAATCAATAATTTCAAATTGACTTCAATTAAATTATTTAATAGAAGTATTTATCTGCCAAAAATACACTGTTATTTGTTAAAATGTCCTTATTAAGTAAAAGAAAATGCCCCTGAAAATGAATTATGGTGGTAAATATTGGCCCTTAACAATAAAGTTAATTTTTAGCATAAGTAGTCCCGCAGTTTAGATCAATATCTCCATCATTCACAGTTGGCAATACTTCTGAGTGCAATAAATATTGCAGCAAATGCTAGAAATATAATACACACTTTACTTTGGCATTGGAAACTGACAAAGTCGGTCTAGACCGTGTCGAATAGACTCAGTACAAGAGAAGCAGTGAACTCATGTGATGTAGTAAAGTAACACACACTGCTACCAGAGACCCTTAACACACACTCCTCTGGCCAAGAAGCTGTCGCTCTTCATTTCATGATGCTTGTCATTACAGCAGGAATGTCTCTCTCAGAACAACACAGTCTTTACACAGCTTATATGCAGAAGCCGTGTTGCTCTCTCTGTCCATCATAATGCTCTTAATTGGCCCATTCGGATGCTTTTTCAGGTTTGAGCATGCCACTATGTTCTATATAAAACTCTGTGTTTGAGAACATTCAGTTCTGTGAGGAATGTTTCTACAGAGAAAAGCTTATTAAGCTCAGTGTAGCGGAAGGTGATGAAAAAACACAGGCTTAGCGAGTACCTGATAAGCGAACGGCGTGAGGTATTCTGCTGTCCTTACACGGATGC